GTCGGGGTCCGCCTTGTGCCTGCGCTTGTGCTTGCCGGACTTCTTATGCTTCCTCTTCTTCTTGTGTCGGTGCGCCCGCCCAGGGCGCTCCTTCTGTCCGGCCAGGCTCTGCCCCGCGTGCTGGGGCTCCAGCTCGGGCCCCCCAGAAGCAGCAGCAGGCGGAGCTCTGTCTGCCTCGGGCTCACCCGCATCCCTGTCCCCACTCGGCCTGCGGGCCTCAGGGCCTGGGAGGGCTTCCCTGGAGGGGCCGCCCGCCTCCTTGGCTCTTTCTGCCCCTCTGGCTCTGGCGTCCTTGTTCCTAGAGAGCTTGAAGTCGAAGTAGAGAGGGTTGCAGCTGTAGGAGACGGAGGGCTCGGCCTTGGTGAAGATGAGCAGCTCCGAAGGCCACTGCAGGGCCGTGCTCTCATCCTTGCTCAGTACGGGGAAGAAGGGTCCGGTAGGGTGCCGGGGACCCTCCTGGCTGTCTCTCCTTGCTGCACTGCTGCCAGGCACGCAGGGCTCTTTGGCGGGCTCGGGCTCGGCCGGCTGCGCCTCAGATGTCAGCGGGTCCTGCTCCACAGCAACCCTCATGGGGGCCTTCCGGGCCTCGGCTCTGCCCTGGGGCTGGTTGGGCTCCGGCCCAGCTACTGCTGTGGCCTCTTTTGTTTCCTTTGGTGGCTCCAAGCCCTCGCTGGCCCTGGGCTCTGCTGCCTGGCTGGGGGCTGCCCTGGCACAGCCCCTAGGCTTGGGGGAGCCATTCTTCTTGCTGTCTGGGGTGCCCTTGGGGTGTGAACTGGCCTCACCCTCCATCTGCTCACTGGCCCGCATGAAGAGCAGGAAGGGGAAGTGGGGCTTCACCTTGCAGTGCGCTGGCGGGATGTAGTGGTAATACTCCGGCTCTGCCACGCCAGCGCCCTCCTCCCGCCGCATCCGCTTCAGCTTAGACAGTGTGGAGGCCAGGGCCCCGCTGTCCTGTGGGTCCTCGTCCTCCTTCTTGCCATCGGTGCTTCCGCCCCCGTCCGTGTCCCCTGCCTTCTGCAGCCCCTGATCAGAGCCCTTCTCGTCCGGCTTTGTCCCTTCCTCAGGGGACCCTTCCTCTGCATGGTCCTTGAAAACTGAAGCTATGGACTCAAGTTTGACTGGAGCCTTCTTAGCAAAGGAAAACGACACCCCCAGTTTCTGCAGCGGGGTCCCCAGGTTGTTCTTGAAGCCAAAACTGATGCCATGGGCAGCCGGCCCGGAAGCCAGAGCCAACCCCGCAGAACTGGTGCCTGGAACTGTGGTGAAGGAGCCTCCTTTCTCTGTGGAGAACTCGGGGCCCAGGCTGCACCCTGCGGCAGCCCCTGAGGTGCTGTGGGTGGCTGATTCGTCCTTGTCCTCATCTCCTCCTTCTTCATCTACAGCCACCGTGGTTGGTCGGAACATGGGGCCACTTCCAGGTGCGCTGAGCAGTGGTTCAGAGAAGACAAGAAACAGGTTTAGGGGTGCAGAAAGCACAGCAGGCGGCGCACATCCTCACCACTCCCTCTGCTCCGCCCATCCGACGCTCACCAACAGCAGGGACTCTGCAGGGCTACTGTCCCCAGTGCTGCTGCTTCAGCTGCCTGCACTAAGCAAAGTGGGGCCCAGCTCTCACTCCAGGTCCTGTACACGCCACCTCTTAGCGCTGCTCCACAGCGTGAGCCTTGCACTAACTGGAGTTTTGCCAAAGGTACAGCTGCACTTCTAACACAAGTCTACTTTGTTCAGCTAAGAAAACCTCATTTACCCTGTGCTATTAAATTTCATTTTCATTTTTTTGTTTGTTTTGAGACAGGGTCTCACTGTTGCCCAGGTTGGTCCTGAACTTGTGGTGATCTTCCTGCCTCAGCTTCCCAAGTGCTAGAATTACAGGCATGTGCCAACCACACCGGCTAAACTTCATTTGTAAAAAACATGTATTCTGAGTTAAACACAGAAATTCCAGAAACGTCTACTGTGCTATTTTATGGTACTCTGCAGTCGGTGTCCAAGTCTATGCCCATCTCTGGGGCACAACCTCAAACACTGACTTCAGTTCTGAGACAGCGTGGTCCTCTCTATTCAGAGCAGAGGTTTCAAGACCCCGAGGGTTGCCTGAAATCACAGGTGGTATGGAACCCTATATAGATTATGTTTTTTTTGATACACACACTTATGAAAAAGTTTACAGTTTAGGCAAAAAGATTAAAAATAGGTATAATAAAATATAAGTTACAGCTGTGTATGGTGGTACACACTTGCAATCCAAGCTCCTCAAAAGGCTGAGTCAGGAGGATTGCAAGTTCAAGTCTAGCCTGGACAACTAATCAAGACCCTGTCTAAAAATACAAAAAATAAAAGGGGCTGAGGATGTAGCTTGGTGTTCCCTTGGGTTCAACCCTCAGAACTGTCAAACCGGAGCAGGTGGAGGAGATCTAATGGTGTACCGTAGTAACAGTTACGTGAATGTAACCTCTATCTCGCCCTCCTTCTTTTTCTCTGGGCAGGTGGCATCCAGAGCATGGATTTGCTGGACAAAGGCATAATTCATGTCCCAGGTACAATAGAGTGGGACGGTTCAGAATTCACACTACTTCTAACAACACACAATTTTTTTTTTTTTTTTGGTACCAGGGATCAAACTTGGGGGACCTTGTGCTTGTGAGGCAGGCGGTGGAACCATTGAGCTAAATCCCTGGCCTATAACAACACACAATTTAAAACAATGGGTCTTTATTTCTGGAACATCTCATTTAATATTTTCTGGCCCAAGTTTCCTACAGTAATTGAAACCCAGAGGAACTTCTGTACTCTCCGAGCAACAGAACAATGGCCATAGTACTATCAAGCACTCTTTGGCAACAGGAACCAGGAACACTGGGGTGTTTTAATGCCTGTATTTATTTATTTATTTATTTTTTTGAGACGGGGTCTCACTATGTAGTTAGGACAGACCCGGAACTCACTATGTAGCCTAGGCTGGTTTAAATTCACGATCCTCCTGCCTCAACCTCCCAGTGCTGACATTATAGGCATGTGCCACCACACGCAGCTCAAATGCCTATGTTTTAATTGCTCAGCTTGCCTGAGAGGTTTATAGTATGTGAACTACCAGGGGCCCCTGAATTCCAAACTCAAGAACAAAGCAGAAGCCAGGCACAGTGCACACGTCTATGATTCTAGCTACTTGTGGGCCCAGGGCAGAAGGACTTCAAGTTTAGCCTGGGCAACTTATTGAGATCCCGTCTCAAAAACAAAAACAAAAATAAAAGGGCCAGGGAGTTAGTTCAGTGGCACTGTGCTGTGCCTACTTTGCAAGTGTAAGGTCCTGAGTTTGATCCCCTGTACCCCCCCACAAAAGGGGTAAAACAAACAAACAAAAAAAAACAAAGGGCTGAGGATAGAGCTTAGAGCATTTGCCCAGCATGCCCAAGGCCATAGGTTCAAATCTCCCTATGACCACCAAAAAAAGCCCCAGGTATCCATTTGAAGACCACATCATTTTATCATCTGACCCCTAGCTACTGAGGGACCTCATGTCAAAGGCCAAGAACACTCAGATAATGTACTGTCTCTTACTGCAGGGACCACTGCTACCAGATGATGGGTACAGAACCAATGTGGATAGCAAGAGACAACTAACACTGCGCTATGCACCCTACCCCACAAAAAACACTGCCCCGTTTTTACTGTGGAGGGGGTTGTACTGGACACTGGCCTAGAGCATTCACAATTAGCTATATTCCTGCCCTTTTAATTTTTTAATTTTTTTGGGTACTGGGGATCGAACTCAGGACCTTGTACTCACTCTAGAGACAGGCGGCAGAACCACTGACCTAAATCCCTAGTTCCTCCTTTTAATTTTTTTTTGAGATAAGGTCTTGTTTACGTAGTTTAGGCTGGCTTTGAACTCACTGTATAGCCTAGCCTCACAATGAACTCAAGGGGATCCTCTTGCCTCAGGCTCCCAGGGCTGGGATTACATGTTACCACACCCAGTGTGACAGGGTTTTGTTAAACTGCACCCTTTGTGCTTGAATTTGTGATTCTCCTGCCTTGGCTTTCCAAATAACTTGGATTATAGACTTGCATCACCACAACCAGCGAAAAAAAATTTTTTTTCCCTTTTTTGGTACTGGGAATCAAACTCAGAGCCTCGCGTTTGCCACGCAGGTGCTGTGCACTGAACTACAATTCCTAGCCGAAATGAAACTCTTGAACTGAATTTACTTCTAGGATAAAGAGACATTCGATGATGGATCAAAACCTTTTGTTCTCTGAGGGTATTTGGTCATTTTTCTTTTGCAGTTCTGGGGATCCACACCCAGGGCCTGGTACATGGCAGCCTAGCCACCACTGAGTGTACCCCAACTCTGGCTGGTCATAGCTAAACCGCTGTTTACAAAACAGAACTGAGGACTGGGGATGTAGCTCAGTGGCACTGCGCCTGGCAAGTGTGGAGGCCTGAGTTCAATCCCTGGTACCCCCCAAAAAAACAAAAAACAAACTTCTGAAGAAAATGTGTGTGGCCCAAGAGAGTTGTGCTTACTATATATGGAGTCCCTACAGGGTACAGGGGGCACCCTATGGTGCCAGCACTCAGGGAGGCTGAGGAAGAGGCTGCATGTTCAAGGCCAGGCTGGGCAAGTTAGTGACTTCAGAGACCCTGTCTTGAAGGGAAAAATAAAGAAAGGGCTAGGGACCTAGCACTGTGTGAAAGCCCTGGGTTCAACCCCCCAGCAGTCCCAAAACAAAACAATAATTAATTAGTCCAGGAAACTTGGGAACTCTGACCTCAACTTGGCCCAAAACTGCCTTTTTAAAATTTTTATTTTTCCTGGTTCAGGAGACAGTTCCCAGGGCCTTCCTTGAGCAGGTTAGGCAAACACTTTACCACTGAGTTGCACCCTGGCTCTTTGTAAATGTTTAAAAGCCAAAACCAGTTTCTCTTTCTCTGGAACCAGATCCTTCCCTTGGTCCTGGCACAGCCAATAAAAACAAGCAAGGAGCCCGAATTCTTCCTTACTCAGGCCCACCTCTCCTGCAGCTGATGGCAGCTTCAAATGCTCAAAGACTGGGCCCCACAGACTACGTATCTAGAAGCAAAACCCTAGGAGAGGTAAAGTCCTCTTAAGGCTAAATACCAGCCAGAAATTTGATAATCACAAGAATCATAGGGCCAAGGATTTAGCCCAGTGGTTCTGCTGCCAGACTTGCAAGTACAAGGACCTAATCCCCAGTACCAAAAAGAAAAATAAAACAAAACAAAACAAAAGATTCTTGAAAGAACATCAAAGAGGACACGCAAGAGGGCAGGAATCTAAAGAGAAATCAGTAGCTGCCATCCTGCAGGCTGGAGAGTACTCAGCATTCCAGTGGAACTGCATGTGAAAAGCAGTGACAAGACCAGAATCTGGGCCCCAGTGCACCTCGGCTCCCAAGCACCCATGGTGCTTTTGTATCAGAGCACTTGGCACACACCTCCATGTGTCCCTGAGAGAGGGAGAGATAAGGAGACCACAGATACAGAGCTGGGCACAGCCAGGGCCGGCCCTGAGAATGAGCACCGCCTGTGCAGTGTGCGACAAGCCTACAGTTCATGAACAGACACATAAGCTGTAAATCTTGAGGACTGGAGTCATCCCTGCAACCCTGAGTGGAGATTTCCTCACCATTCTGCTTGTTTTCTTAGCTCTGCCAACTCGTGGAGCCTCCGCAGGGCTTTTTCTTGTTTCTTCTCATCCTTGCGGGACCTTGAAGAGACATTTCTGGCAAATTCTCTTTGCTTGAGATCTTTTAGTCTCTGGGTGAGAAAGAAAGAACAGCAGGTGAGTGAGGGGGAGTCAGGTGGGGTCTGAAAGCAAAGCCTTGGGGGTCTGCACACGCACTCAGCCAATGGTCATGGTACAGTGCAGGACAGGAACTGAGCACAGTGCTCATCACCTTGCACATACTTGCAGGGCCTGCACTTCTACGTAGGATAGAGCATCATTTGCTTTACTGGGCAAAATAAATTGATTTCAGAAGCAACAAACTAATTTTAGAATTGGGAGGAAAGAAAAGGGACTATTCAATCACTTGCTCTTCCAGGATGCAAAATCAGACAAACAACATGAGATAAATTGTTGTGACACAGGCCAAAGAGAACAGAAAGGGGTTAAACTAGTACAGAAGTTACCCAAGATGTGAGATCTTCAAAAGCAATGTACAGCTTACATGGGGCGGTTACTGGAATCGGAACTAATGGAAAGCACACTGTGGCTCCATGGAACAGGCATTACCCTCTTCTCAGGAGCAGAGGTTTCCTACCCCAACTGGACGGGTCTCCAGGGCCAGTGCCTTAGCACTCCGCGGCCTGAGCACCTGCTCCGGGACAGCCGGCTACAGTCAGAGCACAGGGAGAGCTTTTCATAGCATCATGGCCTTGGAGCTACAGCCAGGGGACGAAGGGAGAACTGATCAGTCAGATCTTATTACTTAGAATCCAGAAAATAGAATGGAGCTTTTATTTTCAGAAGGTACAGTATAAATTTTTCCTTAAAACAAAAGAAACAACGACCAAAAAAGAACAGTGCCACAACACACTGATGATAAAGAGTCCAGACAGATCCATCTGCAATGACGACAGAACTAGAAATATTTTGGAATGCTACAATAATATTAAAAAACAACAACAACAAAAAAATACATTAGCCTGCACCTTTATGACAGCATCAGGTAATCTGACCCAATATAAAGTGGACATTGCTTTGTGGAAAGGTGTGATGTTCAACAGACAGAGGAATCTGCTTACCTAGTATCTATGAAGTGTGCTTTGAATTGCTTGGAATTGGGAGGGGAGGGAGGAAGACACACACAGAAAGAGACACAGCCACAGACACCAGTAGAGAACTCACTCTTGTGATCTGGGCTCCCAAATTAGAAGGATTTGCTTTCAATACATCAGCTGAAAATGTCACATCACCAAGAAAAAAAGTAAAAGATAAAACAAGAATGGAAGAGAAAAAAAATAAAGCAAGCATTACTACACACACTCTTAGAGAATTGGCAAACTACTATTGAGCAGTCAGGGACCCAGCGGTGCACGCGCACATGGCCACACACAGCCCCGACACACAGTGGGCTGGTGGACAGGCTCTTGCCGCTCACAGCAGCTGGCCCTGCGTCATTACCCTCAGTCCGGGGAAGGTCATGACCAGCAGCTGACAAAACGGTCATGGGAGCAGGCACTGCACGTTAAGATCTCTACAACACCACATCAGGGTTGAGGACCAACTGTTCTAAGAAACACGTTCCTCTTCCTGAAGGGACAGAGCACAGAGAAGGGGCTACCACACTCATTATTCTGGGCCACATGCCTCGCTGTTTCTTCTTCTTGAGACAGGGTCCTGGTATGCTGCCCGGGCTGACTCCCAACTCATCATCTTGTCTCAGACTCCTGAGTAGCAGCGAGGACTAGCTGTGCATCACCAAGCCTGGCATT